TAATCAGAGAAATGCAATTACTCAGGTATAATTTATATCTATTTAATTATTTTTTAAAAGAATAATGCTCAAGGCCAATGAGTAGATACATGGCATCACATATAGGATACTTTGTCATTATTTGAAAAAAATAAAATAGATTAGAAACTATTCTCTAGTATGAACAAACCCAAGGAACACTTAATTCTTAGATGCGATGGAAGTAAATATTCACCTACTCGGGCTTTGTGAGGTGGCAGCATTGTTGTGAAACACTGTTTATCATTGTGCCTCATGTGATAGGAAAGGGAAATTCTGTTGTCTTCCCCACTGTTTCACAGCTTCATTCAGAAGAAATCAAGAAATGAAAAAATACTTCAGTCTGTAATTCCCTAGGTTTAACATCTTCATCTCAACAGTTTCCAGGATGGCAATAAGACTATAATTTTGTAACTTGAAGACCATTATCTTCTAAAAACGAAGCTGATATGCAAATATATCCCTATTAACTTTTTTTGTGGGTGAAAAGGACACTATTAGGAGGAGCATCTTAAATATTAGCAAGAACTGTTTTCTAGACAGTCTCTTTGCTATTTGAAATTAGGTTATGAATAAAGTCTGTTACAACTATTATAACAAGATCTAATTTTTTCCAGCTTTATTGAGATATAATTGACACACAACATTATATAAGTTTAAGGTGTACAACATAATGATTTGATATATACATATTTTTCAAAATGATTACCATAATAAAGTTAGTTAACATCCATCACCTCATACGGAAACAATTTTTTTTATGGTGAGAATAATAAGATCTAACTTTTATATTTTTTCCTACAAAATATATAGGAGAAATATTTGAAAAGCACATGACATTGTGATAAGTTAACTCGAAACCCTATAGAGTCAGAGCATCTGGGATGTCAAGTTTTAACATTTATAAAATGCCGATCCTTTTTCTAAAAGCACATTTCTCTTTTCTCGCCTTCTTTCCATGTTCTAATACCACTACAAGGTAAGGCCCAAGAGGAGGAAATTCATTCCAGCTTTCCTAACAATAAAAACTTATCAAAGACAGCAGGAGTGAATATGAGAATAACAGCTCAATGATATTTTTGGCATTGTAATTTTACATGCATCATAGTGGCTCCCTCCTGAACACCACCACTGCGCCCTGCTCACCCCTTTTTTAATCAGTGGTTCCCTTGCCTCCCACAATTATTCATACAGCACTGCTGAATAATTTTCTTCCCCCTGCCTGGCATAAGAACAAAGCTCAGAAGCAGGAAGGAACGCCACTTAAAGGCAGATCAGACAATGATGTAATTAACAGATGAAGGAGAAGTGTTATTTCAGAAAGCCTCATAGAGCAAGAGATGGGCTGATTTCCTGAGTCATGAGATTACCAGGAAACTACAGTCACTAAAGCAGGAATATCTAAATCAAAATTTTTTCTCCAAATGAATAAAAGCATGTGTAAATACTACTCTCTCCTGTGCAAGTTAAAAGTCTCGTATAGAAATTAAAACTAGTTTGGAAGAGGAATTTCCTCCATCCCACACTAAGTAAGGTGCAAGGTGTATATTTTTATACATTTTTGCCAAATCAGTTTCTTAAGGAATCAATAATACAGGAAACCAAGTCATCCCACAAAAAAACAAATTCCATACATATTAGGTGCTAGGGATGTAAAAGTGATTAAACTCAGTCCCCACTTATAAAGAGTAAACTAGTTGAGGAGGTTGCCAACAGAGAGTTTCATATAATCATACACAGGACAGTTTGTGGGTTTGTAGCTTCAGCCACAAGTCCGGCAAAGAGAGAAATGAGATGTCTTGTTCTATCTTCCCAAGAAAGACAAAGAACCAGTTGACTAAATGTCTGGGACTCAAACTCATGACTGCACAGGAATTAGAAACCAATGAGACACGGCTTTCAACGTATGTTCTTTAATAGATACTACAAGCCATGTGATCAGAAGTATCTCCAGCTATGAATAAGAGAAGCGTATTTCACTTAGGTTGTTGGGTGTTCAATTCAAGGAAGGGATCCGATCATAGATAAGAAGTTTCTCCTTCTGTGTTGCAAAGGCACTGATCACTCTTACACTCTTTAGTATATAGTTTTCCATTTTTTAATCGATACTACAGTACAATGCAGTGGGTTTAGAAGTACTCATCGACCTAGTAAACAGCAAATGTCAAAGTTAATAAAAATAAAACTTTAGGATGAGACGTATCACATACACCTAAAAGTGAAAAAAACAAATTAAAATTAAAATAATTAAATAAATTAACTTAGGTGCTGTTATGCATCTTCAAGTTATTCAACGCTCAGATGACATCAGGGAAACATTACAAAAAAAAAAAAGATCAAAATGACAAACATCAAAGTATTTTTCATACTCAGGTAAAACAACACAAATTAAGAATTTACCACTCTAGTCCAAAGTCACTTCCAAGCTTATGTGAATTTCTTCAAGACAGAGGCCACATCTTATACATCTTGATATCTCAGCATCTAGTATACACCTGGCAAACAGCAGTCACTCAACACTACAATGGATAACTTCTCTGAATGTACATGGAGGAAGAAAATATTAAAGGCCTGGTTCTCATCTCTATTCACTTCCAGCAATTCAAAAGCTGAAAATATTGATAAGCTAACGAACTTGTATAAATTAAGGTGGCCGTCCCTGAAAATGAGTCTCAGTACTCAGGAGCAGTGGCTGCAGATACCTACTCCCCAAAGCTCAAAGTGGAAAGCGTGACTCGTATGGCAGCTTGGCCCCTTTCCCATATCCAAAACAATCAGTTGCACAAAGTAGGTTTAGTCCCCAAACTGTCTGGACTTTGTTCCTCCACCAACATCTGGGTTCAGCGTGATTCCTGACCTCTACTTCAAACTGGCGATTTCAAACACTAAGAATCTCACTCAACAAGAAAGTAATGGCATAAGTCAAGGCCAGGGGAAACACAGAAGCCAGAAGTAGCAGAAACACTAGAGAGAAATGATTCTGATGCCCTCAGAAATGTTTCTAAACATCAAAAATATTCAAACTACTTTTCAAAAAGGAAAATTTAAATATACTTTCTCAGATTAAAAGTATTCATATTGTTGAAGAGAAGGATAGTTTCCAGGAAGCTAAATGGTCTTCCTATGTAGTAAGTTTCCTTCTGTCTAGATAGAGCATAACTTTTCTCTCTGCTATAGAGTTTGGCTCTGAAAACCTGGTTCATAATCTGGGAGATCCAAAAACTAATTATTATTTAAAAAAAGACATGTCTTGAACCGACCTAGTTTAAAAGTCTGGATGCCTTTAAATTGCCAATGAACTGAAACCATTCATGAGAATGGGGCTTTTGAATGCTGAGAATGTTCTCCGGAGCTCAGCACAAAGATATTTGGCATGGAAGACTGTAAATATTTGTAAAACTCTGGGTAAATGGACAGTGTTTGACCACACTCAAACCTCACTTCCAGCACAGTAGTGTAGGAGCAAGTTATCTAGGGTGATTGGTTTGGAGGGTTTTTTTGGTTGAGTCTTTTTCTGTTTGTTTTAAATAAAAAGCCAAGGAATCTGATCCTGGCACTTGACAGCTTTTTTACATTCTCTGTCTGTTTTTACCTTGTATTGTTTACTCATCAAGACAGTTTCAATTAGTCAGAGGCTACTTTAGAAAAAGAAGGTTTTTTCTTCTCTCCCATTTTTCTTAGTTTATGCCCACAACAAAGAATAAAATACCAATCACAGGTGTGCAAGAGTAAGGCAGGAGTAGTGTGAAAACACAGCCTTGGATTCCATAATACAATTCTCCCCATGTGGCTTTGTGGATTTGCTATAGATATCTTTCTTTTTCTCGCCCCTCTCCTCCTCAAGATAGTTTTGGAAATACTTAAGAGTCTGCAACCCATGAAAAGGACCAGGGCTGGGAAGGGAGGACAGAGTAAGGGGAAGAAGGGACCAGCAGGTGAAAGGGACTGGGGACCAAGAGGTTCATCTCAGTGAAAGCTTCAGCAGGCAGATACTTGAATTAGCCAGCAACTCAGGGAAGACTGGCTGGGTTCCTTTTGCTTCTTACCCACACCCTAAAAACTGAGTCATCTCAAAGTTCATTTATTTTGCTTCTGGGCCTGGACTCCCCCAATCTGCTGCTTCAGAAATGTTAGATACATTGTTCTTAAATTCAAACCTCACACTGTTCAAATAAATATCCAGAAATGTCAAATTAGAAGAACAACGATAGTCCTATTAGGAGCACTAGCTAATGTTTTGATAAGGTACCAGGGGCAGAAAGAAAGAAGAAAGTGACAGGCTGTAGCGGAAGCATGAGGGCAGAGAACATTTTCCCAGAAAGGGGAACTCATTTCTGAGAAATCTGAATGTGAGACACATATGCATCAGGAGTAGACATACAGCAGAATCCCTGAAACTAATAAGACAAGCAAACGGTATCCTGGAAGGGGTAAGCCCAAGATACTTTCCCTCTGCTGAGACAGGAATCAGTTTCATTTTAACTTAAACGTGAGAATACCAGTATAGGATGAAAGTTTTACTCTATTTTATCAGCAATAACCTGACAAAATAATCAGTATAATGTATGGCCAAGATCCCATGGATAATATAACATCTTATTTATATCTATCTATGTCAACTTATTGCAGTGCATTTCCAAATAACAGAAGGTCAACATCTGAGATTATGCCAACTTTTGGTCTCCCCTTAAGACACACCGAGGTTTAATCTAATCTTGAATTTTACAATACATTCCGTAGAGACCGTTTTATCAGAAATTAAGCTAGTTTCTTTTTACCTTTACAAAGATACCTATTTTTACAAGTTAACAGGTGTTTAAGGCATTCAAAATAGATTCAGTTCTGTATAGTTTAAGCATTGAAGGCAGAAAATAAAGCTAAAAACCATGGTATCATAGTCTTCTGACCTTTTTTCTTTTCTTAGTCCGACATCATTGCTGTCTTCCAGTGCCTGCAGCGTTTAAAAAGCTCGCTAAACCTACCTGGCAGGAGAGCTACGTTCCTCCCGCCGCCGCCAGGCTTCTCAGCAGCCTCCCTCGCGCGCACCGCCAGCCGGGGCTGCTCGCACGCCGGGGAGGAGGAGCTGCTTCATTCTCTGCCTCTTCCTCCGTGCTCCGCGGCTGACAGCTTTCCACTCTGCAGGACTACCACAGGACTTGGGCTCCCAGACCTAGTGGGTCGGAGGAGGAGGAGTACCTATAACCGCCGCCTTGCCTTGGGAACAGCTGCGATGCCCGGGAACCCTGCAGAGCGTGGAGCGCAGCTCGCCAGCAGCAGTGCTGCGAGCCGCGCGTTTATTTATACAGGAAGCTCAGGCGCGGCACTTCCTACTTCCCATCTGGGTCGCGCTTCAACTGCAGGTGATGGTCTTAACCCTGTCCGGACCCGGCCGCCAGCCCTCCTGCCCTCGCTCCACTTGTCAGGACCTCTCTCGTGTCCTTCTGAGACAGCTGCAGCAGAAATCCCGAGCAAGGTGTCCGGCAGCAGCCTCTAGTGTCCTCCATGCTGCCCAGACGTGGACATTTCGCCTCCCGGCTTTCAGAGTTTGCTGCTTCTTTGCACGTGTCCTCCCCGGGCACCTTTCCTCTCCCTCCTTCCCAGCTCTTTAAATCTCTTTCTTCCACTTCTAACAGCTCAGACCTGCCTTCCCACTTTGCCAGAAAGCTGTTTTTATAGAAACACTCCCGATGCACCTCTCATCAAAAACCCCTCGTAACTGATTTATCCTTTTGCATCTAACAAATTAGAACACAAGCAAATCAGAGCAGGACAGTCTTAATTTACCCCATATAACATAGGCACACCTTTATGAAATAATGATTTTCCTTGAAGTGCTTTGTCAACAAATTATGTGGGGAAAAGCTTAGTAACCTAACAGGTTGTACTCAGTTAAAGAAAATCTAACACAGTAATTCAAAAGCTGTGGGGTACTGTGATGTAAGCCTTCCTCACTCCAAAACCCTGGACACTTCATTTGTGTGATGTTTATAACAGTTTATATACCTACTCACACTCTCCACACACCCCACAGGTCACAATCACAGTCCCAAATCTGTTGAACATTGCAATTTAGAAATGTGGCTACTCTGATACAGGGATCTTGCTGTGATCACTCGGCAACCTCACTCTACTTTTGCCACTGCAGTCAGGAATGTGCTTCCTAAAAGGAAGGGACTCACAAGCCCTTTGTGGAAGGGATCGGAGCGTGCCAGTGAAGTAGCAGCAGTAGGCACCGTTCCAGATGACACAAGCAAACTGCTTCTCAGCTCTCCATGTTGAAGAAAAGCTTTAGGTCAAAGCCAAGTGCTGAAGAACACAGTGTATCTATGTGTGTGATGGTAAGACAAGCAGGATGATCGGTCCACTAGTGGGAGAGGAAGGGAAGGAAGGTGGACAAGGGAGATGAGACAGTAAGAGAACATACAGTGGGGACCTCAAGTAATAGAATCAGAGGATATTTGAGCTTAAAAAGTCCAAATGCCTGATTTTAAAGATAAGGAAATTGATGTCCAGGGAGATTTAAGTGGTTGGCTTGAAACAGGAGCAGAGCTGGCATGAGACCTAAATCTGTTAGATGAAAAAGGTACATGTTAATGAAAACCACCCCATGGATGTCTAATTTCAAATTTATCAATAGCTTAGGTTCTGAGATAATCAACCTCAAGGTATTTTCTTGGTGTAGTGACCATTGTTGATGGACAAGAATCAGGAAAGATAAACAAAGCACCTTCCAAGAGTTTAGTTTATTCATTAGTGCTGATGCAAAACTTGGGCACTTTAAGCCAAAGTTCAACAAAGAATCTACTTTTTAAATTACCATGCAATTAAGTTATAATCTGCTGTCAACAGGATAAGGGAAGAAGCTGCTGCCAACATGAATGAAAACATGGATTAAGCAATAATCATGCTGCCTGTTGTTGCAAACGGCAGGGGGCAAGAAAAAATATATTGTATAATTACATAACATCGGCATTGATTATTTTCAACCATGCAAGTTTATAAAAATTGCATTCAAATTTTAGTAGGACTGAATAAACATGTAGAACACTATAGTATTATATGAACAACTCTTTCATATCTGGAATAAGATACATAGGCATAAATTTAACCAAGGCAGTGAAAGATCTGTACGCTGAAACTATAAGACACTGATGAAAGAAACTGAAGAAAACATAAATAAATGGAGAGATATTCTATGCTCATGGATTGGAAGAATTAATATTGCTAAAATGTCCATATTACCCAATGCTATCTACAGGTTCATTGCAATCCCTATCAAAATCCCAATGGCATTATTCACAGAAATAGAACAAATAATCCTAAAATTAGTACGGAACCACAAAAGATCCCAAATAACCAAAGCAATCTTGAGAAAGAACAAAGCTGGAGGCATCACACTTCTTGATTTCAAACTATGTTACAAAACTATCATAATCAAAACTCTCTGAGATCCGCCTAACGAGTCCACAGGGCGCATTCATTCATTCTCTCGAGCATTTATTGATCTTCTCCCAGAAAAGCTGCTACATGCTAGGAAGACAGAGATAAGTTGGCTGCAGGCCCTGTCCTTAAAGAGCTCTCAGTCCAGGGAGGGAGTCAGGCAAGGAAATCAATTATCAGGGTACTCTGATGAGTGATATGATAGACTTAAACATGATGTGCTATGGGAGCACAGAGAAAAATAATTTAACTAAAGGAAAGGGGTTGATGAAAAGAAGCAAGGAAGACTTCCCTGAGAAAGTGACTTAAAGCTGAGTCTTCAAGTAGTCTACTGGGGAAGGTGAAGAAAGGTGAACCAGTCAGAGCAACAGCCAGTGCAAAGGCCTAGAGACATGAGACTTGAGGTGATGCTTTTCATAATTCAGACAGAGTGGATGCATTCAGAACAAAAGAATAAGGGCCTGAACTAGCAGCAGTGACAACTGGCATGAAAAGAAGGGAACAATGGATAGAAATTTCATAAACAAAACTGATAGGACTTGATATCTGATTGGATGTGAGGGATGAGGAGAGAGAAGAACCCAGGCTGCTGATGCCATCAACTGAGAGTAGGAATAAAGGAGGAGCAGTCTTAAGGAAAATGCTAATGATCACCCTTAAATCCTGCAGAATCTGAAGTGTCTCCGGGATGTGCTGGAAGACTTGTCCAGTAGGCCATCAACAGAGCGAGATCTGGGGTGGAGAGTCTTTTAGGAATTACCATCATTTTGATGATGGCCATGGATGAGAGTACCAAGAGCTGAGATCACCCACAGAAGGTAGCATGCTGTAGAGGGAAGAAGAGGTTTTGGACCCACACAAACTCTATCACCCACTCATTATTATGTAACCTTAAACAAGTTTTAACATACCCAAAATTCAGTTTTCTCATCTATAAAATAGGAATGATGATATTTATCTCATAGGTTGTTGCGAGAGTCAATAAGAGGTTTGTAAATTAGCTAGCACAGTGTCTGCTGGCACTATATAAGCCTTGGGGGTGGGGCAGTAAATGTCACCCCTGGAATTGTGCAGTCACAACCGGGGTTGTGTACAGTCAGCTGTACAGCATGGCCCTGTCCTGGTGCACAGTAGGAACTCAGTCAGTGTTATCTATCTAAGAAGGAAAGGAAAAGGGAAGTGAAAAGAAAGGGATCAGAAAAGAGAACCCGAAGGAACACCAGTATTTAAAGGGTTGGTAAAAGAGGAGCCCTCAATAAGCCTAAGAAGGAATTGCTTCTTTTAGACTGCAAAAATACATGTAATATTTGACATCTCAGACTGAGAAGTAAAGTCCAGCCACCACAATCTACAAAAATATTTTTTATCTTTCTAAGAAATAATAGACTTACTATTACAAATTGTTCACTGGAGATTGCAGTCATGTTGACTTTCATCACAGAGGAGAATCATTTCCTAATCTAAATTACAGCCCTTCCTCAAGAAAAGCCACACAAAATCTTGACATTACTGGTAAATAATCCAAACTGTAGGAATTGTATTAACTTGTAACATACCTAAAGTTATATAAAAGAAAAACCAAAATAAATCCAAAGCACACAAAGTTTTCCCTGCATATGAGGCCAAAAAATAAATATAGAAATATAATTACTAGATTACTATATACTTATGTGTAAGATAATTATATAATAATATATACCATAGTATATAATATGTAATAAATCATAGATATGTACTATAAAATGCATTGTAGTCCTACATAAGAAGAGAATCAACAAGTAGAATTTCTTCTTTGGAAAAATTATTCTCTTTAATTAATACACAGAAAAACCAAGATTCGTTTTTGTGCTATTGAAATTACTCTTCTAATCTACCTTAGTATGTAAGTTAGTAACACATACCCTAGACTTGACATCTTAATTACATCCTGTGTTAAAACATAAAATTTTTTTAATGATTTGTTCAGTTTCAAGAAATCAGATGAAAGAAAACAAGTATTGGGAAACCAGCTTCTGCAATAGGTGCAATTCTCTCTCCACAAGAAAACATTTAAGGCAAAGGTCATAGTGTTCTGCCACTGACAATTTGGTCATTTCTCATTTCCAAACAGCTACAATTTCATTTGCATTTTTCCGTTGCATCTAATGCTGCTTATCTTATACATTCAATGCAACATATGTTCAGGGTAACGAGTATAGAACTAAGAGTAAGACAATACAAAATAAGACTAAGAACATTACAAAATAATGTGATAAAACTATGCCAGAGATACACTTTGGGTGGCATGGCAGTCAAACTATGTGGAAAGGCAAAATATGACCCAGAGAAGTGTAAATCAAAACCAAAATGAGATACCACCTCACACCCGTGAGAATGGCTATTATATTAAAAAAAACAAGAAATAAGTGTTGGCGAGGATGTGGAGAAAAGGGAATGCTCATACACTGTTGGTCGGAATGTAAATTCATGCAGCCATTTTGGAAAACAGTATGGAGACGCCTCAAAAAATTAAGAATAGAACTACCATGTAATCCAGCTATTCCACTTCTGGATATTTATTCAAAGAATACAAAAACACTAATTCAAAAAGATATATGCACCCCTATGTTCGTTGCAGCCTTATTTACAATAGCCAAGATATGGAAACAACCTAAGTACTCATCAATGAATGATTGAATAGAGAAGATGTATATATAGAGTAGTAGAATAGAGTAGTATTCTATTGTATAGAATACTATACAATAGAATACTACTCAGCCATAAAAAAGATGAAATCTTGCCATTTGTGACAACATGGACAGAAATTGAGGGTATTATGCTAAGTGAAATAAGTCAGACAGAGAAAGACAAATGCCATATGATTTCACTCATATGTGGAATATAAAAAACAAAACAATTGAACAAAACAAAACAAAAACAAACTCATAGAAGCAGACAACAGATTGGTGGTTACTATAGGGGAAAGGGGGTGAGGGGAGGGCGAAATAGGTAAAGGGGGTCAATTATATGGTGACGGATGGTAACTATACTTTTGGTGGTGAGCACACTGTAGTATATGCACATGTCAAAATATAATGTTATATACCCGAAACCTACACAATGTTATAAACCAATGTTACCTCAATTAAAATATATATGACCCAGAAATGATCATCCGGTTACCTCAGACTTGATAACAAAAGTTTTCAAAAAGCTGGAGAAATGTCATTTGGTTCTATTTCATACATATAAGAGCATCTCACAGAGCTGGGCCCTAAC